AAGATTTTGTTTTTGACAATGTTTCTGCCGAATTAAAATGGAAAAATTCAAATAGTGTGGGATTAACTGGCCCCATTATTTACACCATTTATTTAGACAAAAATCCTTTTCCAACAACAGCAATAGGCACTTCAAGACTACCTAACTTCACGGTTACAAATCTAACCTATAATACCACTTATTTTTGGAGAGTTGACGCTACAGCAAGTGGCGTAACTGAATCTTCTGCAAATGTATACAGCTTCACCATAAAAAAAACTCTAGATACAGAAAGAGCAGCGCTTGTATCACTTTTTAATATGTTAGGCGGAAATAATTGGAATAGGAAAAACAATTGGAACTCTTCTAACAGCATTAGCACATGGCATGGCGTGAAAGTAGATAACAGTGGTTTTGTGACCGAATTAAAATTACCCAATAATAATTTAACTGGCTCTGTCCCAGATGATATTGAAAATTTAACCCATTTAAGGGTTTTAGATTTTAGTGGTAATAAATTTAACAATAACATTTCCTCAAAAATTGGAAACTTAGCCAATTTAGATTCTTTAAGTTTGCGAAATGCTAAATTAACTGGTACTATTCCAACAGAACTGTCAAATTTAGCAGCATTAAAGTACTTGTATTTAGACAACAACACACTTGTTGGTCCCATTCCTGATAAATTTGGTGATTTAAAAAATTTGTTAGTCCTATACATTAACAGTAATGACTTATCTGGAGAAATTCCAACAACTCTGGGAAATCTTAGACAACTGCAACAGATTTATGCTAGGGATAATGTATTAAGTGGTCCTATTCCATATGCATTAGCCAATATTCCTGCATTAAATACATTTGTATTTGATAACAATCATCTTTCTGGGACCTTACCTGATTTTTCAAATACTTCCATGAGAACTTTTTTAATTCATGAAAATCCTGATCTTACTGGTTCTTTAAGGGCCAGTGGTTTGTGTAAAGCAGGTAATACAAATGTTACCAATACAGGAATCACCCCTTGTCTTCAATAAGTATTTTTAGAGGTAAAAAAGTAAATCATTAAAAACTGTAAAGTTTTTTTGTATTGATTTTAAAAATATAAAATAATTTAGTTTTACTTTTGCACAAATTAAAATAAAATCATGCCATATATTTTTACATCAGAATCTGTTTCAGAGGGACATCCCGATAAAGTTGCAGATCAAATTTCAGATGCTATTTTAGATAATTATCTTTCTTTTGACCCAGACAGTAAAGTAGCTTGTGAAACTTTAGTTACAACTGGTCAAGTGATACTTGCAGGAGAAATAAACTCTAAAGCAAATATTAATATACAGAAAACTGTAAGAACGGTTATTAAAAATATAGGATATACCAAAAGTGAGTACCTATTTGAAGCAAACTCTTGCGGTATTTTATCCGCTTTACATGAGCAATCACCAGATATAAACCAGGGCGTTGATAAAATAAATAAAGAAGATCAAGGTGCTGGAGATCAAGGGATGATGTTTGGTTATGCCTCTTCAGAAACAGATAATTTCATGCCCCTATCTTTGCATATTTCAAATAAACTCCTTCAGGAATTAGCCAGAATTAGAAAAAAAGAACTTGATTTAATGCCTTATTTAAGGCCCGATGCAAAAGCTCAAGTGAGTGTAGAATATAATGATTCACATCAACCTATTAGAATTCACACCATTGTGATTTCAACGCAGCATGATGAATTTGCCTCAGATACTGGCATGAAAGAAAAGATTGAGTCT